ACCCAGAAAATTATTAGACTTCAACAATATCTTTAATAGCTTTTTTTTTGAGGAAAACAACTGATATATTCATTAAGCTTTGTACAAATCTCTACCTTAAAAGTTGTCAGGAAGAAATAAGTAATTATTTATGCTAACCTGATACGTCTTTTTTGAGGTGGCAGCATTCTGAGTACTCGCTGTTCTGAAACATATGAGACCAAAACAGCATTAATTAGCCTCTTTGGAATTCCTCTGTGGTACTTCTCTCAGTCTCCCAGGGTGGTGATTCAGGTAACTAAATGCTAAGTAAACAACTTCAGCAATGTTACTTCGATTGGGTTTTGGATGCTTGATGTGTCTGTGGGGGGCACAGGTACTTTGAACTGTGTTCCCAAGAATGGGATTTTTCTGGTACTTCCTGGACACTGCTTAAGTCCTACTCTAGCAGAATTTTAAGACCCCTTATAGGAGTCTTGGGTGGTGTGTGTGCACAAAGTGTGAGCGCTGGGAGGGTTCCTGTTGAGAAGTAATCTCAGGGTGGGTCTTCAAAACACTGCCAGTAGTTCAGGTGGATATGCTGTCTTCCTGAAGAGTTCTACCAAAAAAGATTAGATTCTGCCACTTACTGAGACTGTACCTAATAATTAAGAATTCATTACAGACTCCTACAAAAAAGTCACCACAAAATGTTTGTTATCATATTTGTTGTGTCCCATCCTGTTCTCTCCCCCTTCCTCCTGTCAGCCGGACATGTATCCAGGAAACTGCTGGGCTTTCAAAGGATCACAGGGATATCTTGTAGTTAGACTTTCCATGAAGATCTATCCAACTGCCTTCACAGTGGAACATATACCAAAAACACTCTCACCAACAGGAAATATCACCAGTGCTCCTAGGAACTTCTCAGTATATGTAAGTTTGTCTCTGAATTTAAGTTGATGTTTATATGCATAAAAGTTTGTGTTATGTATCTTGAACAATAATGACTTGAAGACAGCTGAGAAGAGAAACTGTTTCTGTATTGCTCTTAAAATTGCTTATATGTTTTTGAGTTTTGAGATTAGGAATAAGAAGTGTTAAGACTGATTTTGGAAGTTGTTTACTGCTGTATAAAGCAAGAGAAAATAAATGTTTTTGGAGGGAGAAAATGTTTTTTAATTTGGTGTAGTTCTTTTATACACACCAATTGTTCTATCCTTCCTCCACTCTTCCCCTTCCCCTCCCTATTTTGGCTCTTTACCTTATCTATGAAGTACCTTAAATAGTCTCTTTGATTTTTTAACTAGCATCACACTTGTGTGGGCATGATTGCAGACCATAGGCTACACCACAGTATAATTGTGATATTTGAGAACTTTTTGTCTAGTTCTTTTAAAATCTTAAACAGATAAGCAAGCATTTGAATCTTGTTTATAACCTTGATGTGTTCTTGTTTGTACTGAGCAGTTTATATTGTGCACTGTTAGTGGTTTTGCCATGGAAATTAAGGGGTTTGACCATCAACATAAAGCATAGCACAACTATTTGCAGTGCAGGAAACTCAAATACGGACCCATGCCTGAACAGACGTTAAATTACATGGCAAACATTCTGATTCTGGTTTGATAGACTTGGGAGCACTCTCTGATACTCAATTATGTGGGTGTGCTTCTGGGTTTGGTTTGACATCAGATTTGACAGAAGCAAAAATCTTTATCTTGTTACAGGGTCTAGATGATGAATATCAAGAAGAAGGTAAGCTTCTAGGACAGTATGTCTATGATCAAGGAGGAGAACCACTGCAGATGTTTCCAGTGATGGTAAGTCTGGATGATAAGATTTGAAGTGTCAGGAGAAAGATACTCACCTTTTCTATGGTAGTGCACCACAAGCAGTGGAGGAAAAAAGTCCTCAGTCTTCTGGGCACTGTAGAAGCTGAGGTAGAAAGTGTCTACATATCTGTCTCAAAGTAGATTAGCGGGGAGAAAAGATTTGTGCTGTCTAGACCCAAATGGTATGAAGATTCTAAACATATAAAGAGTGTGCTTCATGCTGTTTCTGACTCCCTTCACAAAAAACTAGCTGTAAGGCAAGGAGGGGTCTGCTCAAAGTGGCAGAAAGTTCCCAAGGCATGATATAGTTACTAATAAAAGTTGGTAGTTGCAAGAGTCTAAGAAAGCAACTTCAGTTGCACCCATTCATACTAGAAACCTAACTCTGGTTTGTGTGGTTTTGATTTTTTTTATTTTTTTTTTCTTCTCCAGGATAAAAATGAAAACGCATTCCAAATAGTGGAACTGAGAATTTTTTCTAACTGGGGACATGCAGAATATACATGCCTTTATCGGTTCAGAGTGCATGGGAAACCTGCCTAATAATCTCCTACACTACAGCTTGGGTGGTTTTTGTTGTACATCTTGTTCTTAATTTGTATATACCGGAAAGCCTAGAACACTGGAATCTATAAAGGATGAGGATGCAAGATATATACTGCAGAACTATTGATCCTCTGGTAAAGGCAGAAGACTGTCAGCAGAACTGCATAAAAAAATTTGCTCTAAGGCTCAGCTAGTAACTGCCAGTTAGCTTTATATTTTTGTGTCCATGCTGAGAGAGATAATGCATGCAAACTACTCTGGTTCATAAAGCCCAGCTGACAAACAGGCAACACCTATTTTGTTACAAATGAATGTATGGGGTTTTTTAAAAGAATAAACCACATTTTCTGCAACTAGGAATCTGGTTTTTTTAAATGCAGGACTTAACTGCATATGTTTGTTTTTGGCTTACAGTGCCAAGATAACTGTGGTACATTTTAAACGCTGACTGTGGCTAAAGGTTTTGACCTTTGGTGAATCCAAAAGGGTGGCTTTGATACATGTGGAATATAATAAATATTACTGTCAGGGAAAGTTAACACAACCAAAACTAGTTTAAACACCAGCGACTGAGAATGCTTTGCTGTAATTTGTGGCCGTGACTTTCTCTGAAAGTCAGGGATAAGTAACTGATGTTATTTTAAGGGTTTTTACCATAGCAACTTGGCCAATTTGTTCTTTTTTAGTGTTAATTCCAAAACGACCTTGATGTACTGACTAACTGGATCAGAGCTGATAAGCCTGCTACATTGCTTTGTAAACATTAGTACACAGTCATTAAACAGTCTTTAATTTGTCAAAAGTAATCTCTTTGGGACAAGAATTTCTTAGGCTGGTTCAGTGTTATACTCAGTAAGCATTTTACTGTGAGAATGCAGAAAACACGACGTGACGTCAACCTTGCTACTCCACACTGGCAAGAGGGACTTCTGCTCAGTACTGCTGCATTGAAACCCAGAGGCATTCTTTAGATCCTTCCCCAAAACCTCAGTTGGGTATAAGAGTGATGTCTTGCTTTCAAAAGCAACATTTCCATCTAGAATGAGATGAAACTGCCTCTTGCCTCCCTTAGGATTGCTACTTCGAAGATTCCTGAAATGTACTTAAGCAGAATTTTTATCTTGCTGTTATAACGCATTTTATATTTACATATGAACTGTTAACACATGGAACTGCTGACTGGTTTTCTAAATAGTTATGTATGTTGCACAACAGTCCTCAAACGTTTAACAAAGTCTCCATGTGAAGAACTTTTTTTTCACTTAAGCTAGAGACAGAATTTATGGCCTACGCATAGATTACACATGTACAGGTGTTGTCATATTATAGGTTAAATATTTAAAATTAGAATTATCCTGTATAAATTGAAACTAGGGAGCCAGGGTGGGAATATTTTGAATAACACTAACTTATTTTTAAAAAAGCAAGATAGGACTTTGTGCAATGTATTTTTGTAAATGCTTTCCAAAATGTCTGTTATTTGCTGCCTCCAAACTGACAAGATGCTATTGAGATGTTTAAATAAAGAGTTTTAATTTTTGAAAGTGCATGTAATATTTGAAACAATAAAGTTTCTTTTCTGTATTTTTGATCACATGCTTAAATAACAGAGGCCCTTAGAGCCTGTAACACTAAAAGGGAATTAGGGGGTGGCAGAATCGGTTTTCCAATTACAAACCACTTCTTTCTCCTGATGCCTTGCTTCCCTCTGACAGAAGTCAGAGGGAGAGGTCGGCAAAGCTGTTCACAGGGCTGGGGTCACTAAGCCTTGTTCTGTGAGAAATGTTTGGCTTGATTTTTCTTCTAGGTTTCTGGGCAGCAGTGCCTTCTGTGCAGCACACTGGAATTTTTGAAGAGAAAAACCCAGAAGTGCGTTGTTGCTTGGTGACTTTTTAGCTGTGTGCAATACACTGGAGATGCTGGGGAGCTTGGGCTCGTTTTTTAAACCCGGTTTCCCCAGCTTTGCCCTGTCCGAGAGGCACAGCCACACTGCTTACTCGGCAATCCACGGGCCCATCCTAAATTTAATGCCCTTCTCTCTTCCCTGGGGTCACTGGCCGGTTGTGCGACACAGAATCAATCCTGGCCCAGGCCCCAGCCCTCGGGTTTCTCCGACGCCGCTTCTAGGCGGCCTGCAGGCCCGGCCCCCCCGGTCCGGCGGAGCGCGTTCCCACGCGAGGCCGGTCCCGGCCCGGGGGT